CAGCGGCCGGCTCCAGAGAAATACTCATGAGTCATCGCTGGTCCATCAAAAGACCGATAACTCGTACTCTTTTGGTTGGCAATCCTAAAACTTAATTTCTATTTTGCTTTGCTCCATCTTGGATGGTACTTACTTCTTGGGAATGGTGGACACATAGGGCATGAGCACCTTGTCCACAAACGAACCGAAACCCAGGCGGAAATTCGATGTGATGCTCTTCATGGTCTCCGACAGCTTGTCGCCCAGGGCGGACAGCTTCTCTTTGTCATCCTCCATGGACTTGGAGAGGTCCATCAAGTAGTAGAGATCCACGGGATAGCCCTCGGCCTGGGTGTAGCTCACCTTCAGGTTGTGGACTTGATCTGTTAACAGAAAAAACAGCCGCCGGATTAGGGGCGGGCTTCGAATGTGGATCCCGGGGTGACTTACTGATGCGCAACTTCAGGTTTACGGACTGTGGTTTAATTTGGACAATCTCGCCGGAGCTGGCCGACCATCCAGAGTATTGGGAGCCATAGGAACTGGCGCTGGAGCTGGAGGAGGAGGAGGAGGAACTCTGATGATAGGAGCTGCCGCCAGAGATGTACTGACCACCGCCGCCAAAGCCACCGGCCGAGCCATAGGCTTGACTCTCGCCAGCTAGCGTCAGGTTCTTGTTGATGAGAATTTGCTCCGAGGTGTCGGGATTCCAGACGAACTGCTCGGGACAGACATCCGGCGAAGTGTGCTGGAAACAGCGCGATCGCCCCTCAAAGTTTGGCTGCATGCACCACGCACAGCTCTGGGTCTGGATGCATGTGTGGCACTTGTCCTTGCCGCTGCACGGATTCTGGACTAGCTTCCCCGCCAGCTGGCACTGCACCAGGGAGGCGTGCATCAGGGCCAGGACCATGACCGATAGCACCGCCAAATGGCAGCTCTTTTTTGTCTTTGCGACGTACATTATCGTTGCTCTTGTCTCCCCGTCTCTCTCTCTCTCTCTGTGTGTGTTGTCTGCTGCTCTTATTCTTAGCCGTTGCTCGGCTCTCTATCTCTGTCGCACCTCTCACTCGCTCGCTGTCAGCCTTCTCAGTCGTTTTTGTGCGGCTGCAAAAGAACAAAAAAATAACTGCAATTGAGTGATCGAGTTTGTTTTCCAATTGGAGTATATCCGTTAGGAATTGCATCGCATGTATGCATGTGTGTTTGGGTGTGCATATGTGTGTGTTTGTGTGTGTGTGGAGTTTGTCGCACTCTGTCACACCGCTGGCATCCGCGAGTTTCCATTAATCTTCCATATATTTGTGTGTCAGAAGATATCACACCCCGTACTCTCAGGACGTACGGGTAGGTTGGACACTTTTTTGAATTAATTATAATTTTTTAATTATGCAAAAACTGAACGAACATTTTAGCCTTAACTTATTTTCAACTTGTTCTTAAGAGGGTATCGCTAAAGCCGGTTTGTGGTTTACTTGTCACTTTGTTTAGTTTTTGCCTTGTGCTGTCTTTCTACCTTTACGTTTAATTATATATTTCCCCGCCCCGTTATCGTGCCAGCGTATGAAATGGAACATCATCACGGCCAGATGACTCATCTCACACACACACACACAACCATCACTTGCTCTCACGTTTGCAGCTATACATACATGTGTGTGTGTGTGTGTGTGTGTGTGTGTGTTTTCTCCACTCAATATTGGTGCCAAATAGGATAGAGTGGACACCTTGGAGCTGTCAATGGCCCTCACTGACTCCACTTCTCATTCAGCATTCGCCAGCGACAATTGCTCACTCCCCCGCTCAATCATAATTCCCTCGCTATCACGCATTTCCCCCCCCCCCTGTCATTCATCATTCACTACCACTCCTCACAGTCCTTATTCCCTGTTTTCCCTTTGGCTATTCCTCTCCACATTCCTTATTCTACCACTCACTAACGCTCATCCACCCGCTCACTCCCGCTCTCATTCATCATTTAGTCACTCCCTCTCTCATTCCTGAATCCCCGACTGTTCCCTCTCTTCCATCAGGAAATACAAAACGTAAACAAAGGTCGGCCGCAGAGAGGATGAATGTGAGTTGTGCAAAAGAGAGAGACGAGACCCAAACAATGCCAGCTCTTTGTGAGTGCACTCCCTAAGAGGGTGTTACGGGGTTCGGGCCACTTCCGAATGGCTCAGCATGCCTTCCGGGAACCCGCGCATGATGAATCCGGTCACTCGACTGAAATCGCCCGTAATGATTCATTCCAATTCAATAACGGAACAGATTTTCAATGCAATCTCAGAAGGGCTGGCTTCTTTCTCACTTTGCCATTGCCTGCAGCTACATATGCAGACATATGTATGCGTGTGGGTGAGTATGTCTATATATAGCCGCCCACGCACAGGGGAGACGCTATTTGCGAGATTCATGCTGCCGCCACCGCCGAAAAAAACTGAATCCCACATCTGCAAACAGGGTGAGGGGTGGGGGTAGGGGTATTGGAAGTGTTGCGATCAGCTTTGGCCATTGCTTTTGGTTCACCCCGCTGAATCTCCACTGTGCGGACCGCCTACAGACCAACAGACAAACATCTGCGGCACATAAATGTGGGCGTACTAGTTCCAACGCTGACAGAGGGCGCACACTGACTCTCCTTCTCATTGAAAATCATGTTGTGTCTGGTGTCTGGGGAGAGGGGGATAAGAGGTGGAGTGGGGACCGCAATGGAGATAAAGAGTAATCAACAACTGCGTCAACATTTGAAGCGTACGGCCGATCTTTAAACTTCAAAAAAAAAAAACTGTCACACCAGGCAGAGTACACCCTGTAGAGGATTCAGCAAGCCAAATAAGATATATATTTCTGTGTCAGTGTCTGTGTGCGTGTGTCGTCATTGCGAATGAAATCATCAGAGCAATACACAGAGAGAGCACACAGCACATATCCAGTTTTACGGTTTTTTGTGTGTGGATGACTTCTTTTTTGGTCAATTGCAGTCAAAATTGATAGCATTTCTTACGTAATTTCACTAATTTTAAGATATTTCACTCGCGCTCTAGCCGCTCGCACCACTTGAAACCAATGTTTGATGCGTTTTCAATTGGATTTCGAACAATGTATTTCCATCAGGGGCGGGTTTGCGCCTTTTATTTTGATTTTCTCGCACACTTGTGGAGTTGCTTGCCCACACAAAACACACACACACGCATGCACCGCAGAAGCTGACTCAGTGAACTATCACTTCTAGCACTTCTTTTCATGTACACATATACATATAAGGTATATGTACCTAGTCAGCGTTTTTGAAACAAAAAATAACACAAGAATTGTTGAAAAGAATATAAAATTATTACTATTTTATCGCCACCAACGGTGTTCGCACTTCTATCTTATCGATTAAATAAACCGTCCGACCCTCAGAAATATACTGAAAAACACAGTCTCATTTAAAAAATATACCAAAAATATTATGACGAATTCAAGTTCTATTTTACATACTCCTCGTTTTTGATCTTCCATGGAATATTACTAGCTAGATAGAACTTTCAACCATGCCCACATAATTTTATCCGATTAATGAACCAATTTTCTAATTGATTGGCTAAATTTATATAATTTATTTTATTGGATTTCTATGTAAAGTTGAAAATTAAGATTTTGCCGTTCCAAAAATTGGCCATCCATCTGGGATGTTCGTAAACCGTACATTTCTATGCGATATATAGCCGATGGTTTTCATATGCAGCCCTGAAAACAGTGAATGGCAATCGCGCCTGGACATATTTCAAATCCTTTTTTAACCTAATTTAGATATATTATTACATATTAAAGAAATTTTAAAATGTACGTTGCCCATTCGATAGAATGTTTTGACATCCCAGGCTCGAATGAATGCAGAAACTGGTCAGTCTCTATTTGACAGCTTACCGTTATCTTACCGAAATTGAGAGAATTGATTACATATTTGAAAACATCTTGGAAAACAGAAATGTAATGAAAATTAAAGGAAATATGGTATAAAAATGCCAAAACAGGGTCATAACGTAAGCGAAAAAATATTTTTTAAATGTGACGGTATATTTCTAGGGTCCCACTGACTCTCCCCTGCAACGAAAAAATGAGTCGTAATTTTGAATGCGCTATAAAAAGGGGTAGGAACAACAGGCAAAACCAGCCAAGGCAAATTTCAAGGTTCGTACGAACCTCACCTCGCACCTCGCGTATGACCAGAATATACCTTGAAGGCAAAGCGGCTTTTAGTCTCCAAGGTATGTTAAGCAAAAGGGGTGAACTTTAACTTTTGCACTTTCTGTGGCGTTTTGCCTATTTGATACCATTTTTTACAGCAATTTCCCAGGGAACCAGGGTGACCGCTTACGATAATACTTTTCGATATTTTTTATGTCAAATTTAAGCACACGGTATATTTACGGTATTTCGGTGCATAATCAATGCATCAATCTATTAAATTTCAATGGTATATTTAAGAACACAGGGTGTTGAAACATCCATACGCAGGTTTTTTTTATGAATTGTCGTTCAAAAATCGTACTTGTAGAAAATTAATTATTTGGGCAAAGCTGAGAGATCTATATATTAAGTAAAATTCGACGGAATATCATAATGGTGGAATATGGTTTCATTTTCATCCATTACCTGAAGTGGTTGAACTATTTAAATAGAGGGGGCTGAAGTGGGCTAAGTTTTTTTTATCATAGCGCGACCCTATATTGTTGTTGAGGAGCGAGAACAGCAATCGCCGTAGCAGGAAAACAAGTCAAGTATTTAAAACATGCCAGCCAAGTAGCAAATTGATTTATCAATTGTATAAAAATATGTGCGCAGGGCTGAGAGATCTAGATAGCTAGTAATATTCGACGGAATATCAAAAACGAGGAATATGTATAATAGAACATCAATTCATCAGTATATTTACGGTATATTCTAAAAATGAGACGGTATATTTTTGTATATTTCTGAGGGTCAGAAAGTATATTTTTTCAATAAGTCCGCGGTCACACCGCAGCAAACGGCAATAACGAATAACGGAGGCAGGCAGCAAAAACGAAAACTGAAAAAGTCAAACCCACACGCACACAGTCAAAAAGCTATATCGTTTTTGTTGTTCGTTGGTCTGAAAAAAAGTGAAAACTGCGTTTCTTAGCTGATTGTGCTAAACTTGTCAAAATCATGAAGTTCCAATATAAGGAAGAACATGCTTTTGAGAAGCGTCGCGCTGAAGGCGACAAGATTCGTCGTAAATATCCAGATCGTGTACCCGTAAGTATACAAAATATAAGTATATAAATTATCTGTGTAAGTGTTTGTATGAGTGGTGCCTGCAAAAGTGTGGCTATGTATGTATGCGTTTGTTTTGCGTCGTTCGTATCATTTTATTTTTTTTTGTAGTCAGCGAAAAAAATCAATAATGCGCATATTGATATTGTGGGTAATTGTTAATAAAATTTATATCTGCGGTTATTAACCAGATCTAATTTTCTAAGCATAAAACGCATTACAGCAAGTGCCAAATAATATTAAAATAAAAAATTGTCATTCTCACACACACACGCGCACACATACACACGTACACGCATATAGAGTTGCTTTGTTCTTTCCATTTTTTTTTTGTCTGTTTTCGGTGTGCGTTTTGAGTGTGTGTATGCGAGTGTGCGCAAGCCAGCTAGCTGTTCCACTTGCTCAGCTGTTGTGCTGTTGTTCTCTTCCCACTCTGCTCTGCCTGCTACAGATCTCACCCACCAAGCAGCCCCTTACCACTTTCCCGTCCTCACCAATCGTCCAACCAGTTGTTTTTGATTTTGTTTTTCGGTTTTTGTTTGCCTGCAAAAACAAAAACGAATACTGCGCATAAAAGCAAATCGCTCGTTAGTACAACCAGTGGGTTGTTGTTGTTGTGTTTTTAGGAATTGTTTTTGTTTGTGCAGCAACCGCAACAACAGAACCAGAACAGAACCCTCTCTCTGCTGCCCAGAAATTAGTCATAGTCTGAAAGTGAACTTCTCCATTGTTTGCTATCGCTATTTCACCATTTCCATACCATTCCTCCTTATCAGCGAAAACTCCTTGATCAGTCGATCAGTGCAGTCCACCTGAAGGTGCCCTCCCCCATCCCATCCTTGTTATTTATATATGCGATTCGATTGTGATATGATGCTAATCCCTGCCACATTCTGAAGCATCTGCATCAAGCTAAGTGTCCTAGTCGGACGCGGATCACCTGAACTACATATGTATGTATATACTACATATGTGTTCATATTCCAGGAGAAATCGACTGCATATATGTACTTATGTGGTGTATTGCTTTTTACCAGTTTGATTATTTGATGTTTTTTTGCTTTTGTTTTTGTTTTTGGCAACCATACAAATCACATAACAGCTGACCGAACGCCAGAGCGAGAGGCAAGGCCAGCTGGTTGGTCAGACCATATACATACATACCAAACATATGTATATATGTATGTACATATGTACATATCCAAACGAATGCTATATCTAAGCATATACGACACCTTGGCTGCGGCCAATGACGCTAACCAGATTGGCTAATGCGGCTAACAAAGGGGTGGTGGGGTGAGCAGGGTAAGGAAAGACAGAGAAAACTGAGAATCAGTCGGAACTCTAATCGTACGATTCATATTAATTATGCAATATATTCATTATGCTTATGCTTCCTGCTCCATGTCTCAACTTCAATTTGGCTGCCGAATAGCCAGAGGGAAAACCAGTTAGCCCCAAAGATAATTGAGGAATTCCTCAATTCCTTGCAAATTTTTGCGAGGTATCACGTAGTCGTGTTGCATACTGTGAGCCACTTGTGTGGCGACACTGAAAAATGCTAAATGCAATTACAATTTCTTGATTTTCGCCAAATGTGTGTGTTTTTTGAAATATTTCAAGGGCACGTACCTCTCTATAGAGTGTTTCTATTTCCTTCTTATTCAACATTACTGATTTCGCCCCTCTTTGTTGAATTTGTATTCCTGCAGGTGATTGTAGAGAAGGCACCCAAGGCACGCATCGGGGATCTGGACAAGAAGAAGTATCTGGTGCCATCGGATTTGACTGTGGGCCAGTTCTACTTCCTCATACGCAAGCGCATCCATCTGCGTCCCGAAGATGCCCTCTTTTTCTTCGTGAACAATGTCATTCCACCAACATCGGCTACCATGGGCTCCTTGTACCAGGTACGTCCTATGAACCAACCCCTACGCTGGCCAATACCATCTAACCTTTATTTTTTTTTTTAATATCCTGCAGGAGCACCACGAGGAGGACTACTTCCTGTACATAGCCTACTCCGATGAGAATGTCTATGGCATCTACTATCATTAAAGGAGATGGAGAATGGAGATGAAAAGAACCCCTATACAGAAATCTATATATATATAAATAAATATATTTTACGTTTAGCATGCAGCTTATAAAATACGACGCGAGTTAGCTAAACGAATTGATAAAAACAAACAAAAACACCACAAAATGCAACAAGAAGAACTTAAAAAAAAATGATCTGAACAAGAGGAAATGAGCAAACCGACAAAAATGAATTGTTATGTGAACCTTGTTTATATATATATATATAACTTTTTCTATACACCTTAGTATTTTCGATTAAAACTATGCTTTTGTCCTACCATTAACTCTCGGGCCCCCGTTCTGTTCAGCCCCTCCACACCCCCATTTACGTTTCATAGCTGTACTGGAGGTCCGTGCAATCGCATCCGCACACGCACGCGTGCATACATACATTGCTTTAAACGCTATTTTCTGTGTAATTTTTTCTTCAATTTTCTTTTGTTTTTTTTTGCTTTTAATTTGTGTAATAATGCAGCAAATGATGTGCATATTTAGTGTGTATGGTTATGAATAGGACTCTCTCGGTTTAAGTCTACGGTAATTAATCTATTATTAAATAAATAAAAAAAAAAAAACAAAAGACTACGAAAAAGCTTGAACTTCGTCTTGTGAATGAGGCCATGCCATGCCCATTGACATCCCTACATTCAATGAAGCAATTCTCGCTGCGGCATTGCAAAATGATGCAATATGCATATTTCACCTGCAATATATCTATGCATGCGTCATTCTGCTTGGCTTGCTTGGCTAAGAGCAGCGATTCATTCAATGTAGAATTCTATCAACACATCTTACGGGCTTCAGAAAATAATTTACAATATTCTGTTTTTTCGCGGCCAAAGACAAGTTGAGACAGAATGAATAACTGCCGTAGTCAGGGAATTATAGAGGCAGAATAAATAACTGGCGTAGTCGGCATATAAATAATTTAAATACATTTTTGAAAAATGGACATTCAAAGTTGGCGCTCAGCTGTAACCAGATGGGCAGCGGCCGCTCCAGGTCTGGCAGCCCTATTTTGCCATATCAGTGCTGCACAACACTTCCCTGTGAGTGTTCGTTTTTTGTTTGACTTATTTCGCTAAAACCTCTTTTTACGCAAAATGCAATAAAAGCAAGTATTAAGAATACACCAGTTAAATAGAAAATTGATTCATCAATCGTATAAAACTATGTGGGCATAGAAAAAGGCCCGGTTGACAACATTTAAATCCTTGTCGCTCACATTCAAAAAAGTTCGATTTGGCGCGCACCACTCGGTATATTTTGGTGCTGTTCTGAGGGTCATACTGTAGAAACTGGTTTTCGCCGCGCTCCCATGTGGTGTTTTTTAGTGCTAAATATTTTCATATTTTATCGATAAGTCCGCGGTCACACTGCTGTCGATAGTTTTTCGAAAAACATCGACAGTGCAATCAATAGTTCTTCACCAAACATCGCAGACATTTAATATTAATTTAATTTTCAATGTTTTATAGAAATCCAATAAATGCAAGTATTTCGAATAGGCCAATCATGTATAGAATTGATTCATCAAGCGTACAAAATTGAGTGGGCATGGCTAAATGTTCCATATAGATAGTATTATTCAACGGAAGAAAGAAAACAAGGAATATGTAAATAGAACTTGAATTCGTCAGTATATTACGGTATATTTTTTAAATGAGACGGTATGTTTCGATATATTTGTGAGGGTCGGACCGTATATCTTATCGATAAATCCGCGGTCACACTGCTTCTACTATTATTAACAACATTATTAATTATTATTAATTAATTCATGTGAAACGTCGTGCTCCAGTGCTAAAAACCATTCCGGTGACATTAGAAAATATTTAGAGTGCCAGGTAAATATGGCCGTTGATTAGAAAGTGCGGTAGCCACCCCGAAGAACCTTTCACCTTTACCCCTTTTTTTTCGGAAATTTTTTTTAACAATTTACAACTCAGTTACAAAACAGCGAAAAAAGTGCTTTTGCTGTACGTTTTTTGTGTTTGTTGTTGTTGTTGCTGGTGCTGCTGGGGTTTCTCGTGACGTACAAATTAGCAAAGAAGTGGCGTAGTTTAGTTCATGGTTTTTTTTCTCGGTTCGCGGTCGTCTGTTTTCGTGTCGTTGTTTTTGCACTTGTGCAAATGCAATTGATTTTTGTGTTTGTTAGTTGTTTTGCCCTGTCTCACGTTCTTTCTTTCTTCCCTCACCCCCTCCCCCTGGAGATACTTATTTCTGTCATTTCTTTGTTGTTATTGGTGTCAGTGTCGCTCCAACACACTCTTGGGCCGCCCTACCACCCCAAAAAAAAAACCGACCCACCAAGGGCAGAACAGCTGCAATGCCATCAAAAACATCGACTTTGGGTGTGAAGTTGGTCAGAGTTTATTGTAATTATTGTATTGCAAAAACGCTGATTAGAGGGAAGACACTGGCACCACACCGTGCCCCTACCCCCCCAGACAGTATTTCGTTGCTCTGGTAAACGCGCATGTGGATTCGTTTTATTGGTGCTCACAAGTATCGTATGATAATCTCCGTTCTATTGTTGTTCTTGTTGTGCTTTTCCGCGGGCTTCTCGCACACATCCGCATGCACAGTACACGTACGCAGCGCATGTGGGATCTTTGCATGTGTGTGTTGCTGCGTGGCTGCCAACCTGTCGAAAATTTTCACCATTTTAATTCAATTTAGAAATATAATTGGACCCGCATACGTATATTGGAGGGAAAAGTGCACAATTCACAGTGTGTTTCCGATGCCGTGGGAAAGTTACGGTTGAGAATTAAGTCCATTCCATTTTTAGTTACACAGCTTTTTTGTTTTTTTTTTTTACTTTCCGATCTGGCAGCGCCTGCAAGCGCGGTTTTTCTGGGAAAATTCGAAACCAAATTGTAGTAGGCCACGACAATTACCGGATTACGATATCGAAGAATCGGTGTCATTAACAGACATTCTCGCATTTCGATGCGAGACTCAATTTCGACTCAAATTAAATTCAGTAAAATACGATTTTTTTTTCGATAATATTGGCCTCAATAATTAAATTGGTGATCTTTGCATCGGTTTTTTGTTTTTAATTCTTAGCCGCTTGCAAACCGCTTAAATGTCACAACACTCGAAAAGGGAAAAGGACACAGCCGCCAACAGCACGAAAAGCCATGCCCAGAGCACACGCCACACGAGCGGCAGTAGCAGCGCGAATAAACACAGTCACAAAAAGCAGATGCCCAACGGCAGTCTAAAGGCCAATTCCAACACCAAACCAAACCAAAACTCCTTCAGCAGCAGTACCACCACCAAGGTATCCACAATGCTGGCCACAGGATCGGCAGCGGGATCGAGATCGGGATCAGGATCAGGATCAAGCTCCTCCGTCTCCCCATCCAGCTCGTCGTCGGCACCCCTGCTGTCGCAGGTTCAGGGAAAATTTCAAATGAGCAAAAAGGAGAAAAACCAAAAAGACAAACAGCGCGAGAGGGAGCGCATCGAGCGCGAGCAGTTTGTGCTCTGGCGTCGACCCTTGGATACGTCCTTGTATTGTGGCCTCGAACTGATGACGCTGCTGCGAACATGGAGCTCAAGGTAATGTTGAATGACGAGACGTGAGGTGAGGTATGTTCAGGCAGATACTCAAACCCGTTCTCATCTTTCAGATTGCTGCAGCAACGTCTCCTGCTGGCCGCTTTGATAGTATTAGGCATATTATTTAGTATAATTTACAGAATTGATGGACCACATCAGCTGGCCATTGAGCTAGTGCGTCGGAACACCTGGTTCTTTGTCTACTGGCTGGGTCTGGGCGTGCTCTCCTCAGTGGGACTTGGCACTGGCCTACACACGTTCCTTCTATATCTGGGGCCGCACATAGCCAGCGTTACGCTTGCCGCATACGAGTGCAATTCCCTAAAATTCCCGCGCCCTCCATATCCAGATGAGTGAGTATCTCCCAATCGCCGTTTTCCGTTCCCCGTTGTCATACTTCTGACTTTTCTGACTCATCTGCAGCATCATCTGTCCGGAGGAGCCGTATGATAAACGGGTGCCCAATCTGTGGGCCATCATGTCAAAGGTTCGACTGGAGGCATTCCTTTGGGGCGCTGGAACGGCCCTGGGCGAGCTGCCGCCGTACTTCATGGCCAAGGCTGCGCGTCTCTCCGGGTACGATCCGGACGATGCTGAGGAGCTAGCCGAGTTCGAGGCCCTGAACGCCAAGAGGAATCAGAAGAACCTCAGTTTAATGGACAAGGGCAAGCTGTTCATGGAGCGCGTGGTGGAGCGCATTGGCTTCTTCGGCATCTTGGCCTGTGCAAGTGTAAGTGGGAACGGATGTGGAAAATCCTAGAACAATACTGACTACCTGACTACCTTGCAGATTCCCAATCCCTTATTCGATCTGGCTGGCATCACTTGCGGCCATTTTCTAGTGCCATTCTGGACCTTCTTCGGAGCCACACTAATCGGCAAGGCCATCATCAAAATGCACATACAGAAAATCTTCGTGATCATTGCCTTTAATGAAACGCTGATTGAGCGAGCAGTGGATCTTCTGGCCTCGCTGCCCTACTTCGGTCATAAGCTGCAAGAGCCCTTTAAGGCCTTTCTCAAAAACCAAAAGCAGCGCCTCCATCGTCAACAGCGTGGCAAGGGTGCTGCTGTTGGCCCCGATTCAGGCAATCTGCTATCGAAGATTTTCGAGGCGTTTGTAATTGGAATGGTGTGCTATTTTGTCGTGTCAATTGTTAACTCTCTGGCGCAAAGCTATCACAAGCGTCTGCACCGAAAGACTCCGTCACCGGCATTAGGGACGGGTCCGGCCTCGGCCTCGGGCTCGGCGGCGGTCAAGGCAGTACCAGTGCCTGCGACCACGCCTACGCCCACGGCCACGGTCACATCCAAGAAGCATGCCAAGCAGCGGGCTCTACGCGAATAGAGGAGACTTCAATCCAAAATCACAAGCCCCAAACCCAAAATCTCTTGAGTTGATACAATTTCCAGAACCCCCTCCAAACCCGTTTCCTATCGAAGTCTTAAGTTATTGTACCTATATATTTTTTTTTTTTGTTTTTTCGTGTCCTTGTTTTAGTCAAATTTTCAACTTGGAAGTGTACGCTTTGTATGGGATGTCAAGAGGCAGATGCATCCGGCCGGTACGGAACGGATACGGCGGCGCCAGCTCGAGAACTTAGATTAAGTCCAAGAAGCAGCAAGGAGCAAGAAAATTACTAGTAAAAAATTAAAAACAAATATACAACAGCAACAACAACAAAATAAGTAGAAATATACATATGTATATGTATGTATGCATCTGTGTGTGACTGTAATATGAAAAGTAAAAGAGAAAGAGAAAGAGAGAGAGAGAGAGACGGACAGACAGAGAGGGGCTAGCTAGTCGGCAGATAAAATGCAAATTGTGCTAAAAGACATTGAAGAAGAGTAGAAGCAGAAGTATAATGGTTGCTGAAATGCTGAAAACAGAAACAAAACAAAAAGAAAATAGGAAAAATAAACGTAATATGAATAAACAAATGCACAGACGGACGTTTTGCTTAATCAAGCGGACTGGACTCTCTTGATTGCATTAAGATATCCGCTCCATTTGGCTGAGATTTCATTTCCAGATTCAGATCCGTCATCAACAGTTGGCTTTCATTAAGCCCCTGGCAACGGGTACGACTGCCAACACAACTGTCCCTCCCCGCCCACGTGATGTCTTACGTATAGTCGAGTGGCCAGCTCGAAGGACAATTGCTGCGTCCACGTGGATGGGTGGAGTGGACGGTAAGGGATGGGAGACGATGGAATAAACGAGCTTTGCGACGCGCTTTGAATGCCTAATCCTGTCAACAACTACAGTTCCGTAAAACAACAAGAACAACAGCTGAAATAACAAGAACTGAAGAAAGGCGTCGGCACCACCGAATCGTCTGATACCCTTGCAGATCGCTCGTTGCTATGGTACAGCGACCCGACTATGATATTAGCGGCTAGCATTTACATACATATGTGCATATACTATATACGAGCGTATATACTATATACTACATTCTTCCTGTGTGAAACATCTCGTACAAGTCGTATTGCCCTATGGAAGCGAATTGCAAGGAGAAAGGCAAACAGCGATGACAACTGCCAGCGGCTAACGGTACAATGTCAACACTTGGCAAGAGCGAGAGGCAAAGTGACAGTGGCAGGGGCGGGCACTGATGGACTGACATACTCGGACATGACAGGACGTGCAGAATGCCAGCAACAAGAAATATTTTCATTTAGCTGTCGACAGAATTCTTTTAAAATGGACACATGCTCCACCCGTTACTGCCCCGCTCCACTCCCGGCCATACTCCTCTCTACTGCTGTGCTACATCGGGTAGCTTCCCACTGAAAGGGGGGAAACCAGCTACAGTGGTCTCCTGCTACCGTCAAGGATTTAGCTTCAGGGCAAAGGTAACATAGAAGTGGGTGAGGGAGAGGTCGTGTGCGCACAAACTGGTCACACCTCACGCCCAATGCCAACGCCCAGACAGGCAGACAGACAGAGACGAAGATGAAGAGACGTTTTCGGCAGGGCAATCGCTTGTCTCTCTCTGCCGCTCAGTGCGTTCTCTGATACACAGCCTGTGCAGCTCCCGGATCACTACTTTCAGATAGGACAAAAAAACCACAAAAAAAAAAGACAGCATTTATTCATAAAACTCACTAATGCCACCTCCTCCCACTCGATCTGCCCTGTAATTCCTACTCAGACAACCATCCCCCCCTCATTTTACCAGTGAATGGCAGCAAAGCTCCACTCCGCTGCCGCTCTAAAAACACGTTTGCATTTCTGTCGGCTCACCAAAGTATGCGATACAGTTATGACTAGGCGGGAGGAAGAGCAGGGAAATCAAGGACAGAGAGACCGGGAGCGAGCGAGCGCGTGTGCGTCTATTCGTGCTCAAGTGCTTTACTTCTCCACTACCACTTTCCATTCCCCTCAGCCACCCTCTTCCGACGGAGCTTTGCTTTCGGCCTGCTCGCGTGCAAATATGACTAAAGCTCCTCCGGCAAGTGGCTCCCCCCCGCGAGCACTACCGCGCCGCACTACCCCGCCACTTTGACAGCTTCCTGCGCGTGGCCATATGGCCGTTAGCTGACGACTCCACTGTGCAACAGGCAGAGGGGGCAGCGGGTGGCGCAGGGACGACGTGCGTCCGTCACTCCGGCAGGGCGAAAGTTCTTAGAGATGGCACTGGATAGTATACGCACCTATCGCTGAGTTCTAAGGCCTATGCAAGGTGTATTTCCACAAGGTGAGGCCTTGCCACAGACCGATCTTAATGGTAGTTTGCTAATTTTATTCAAGTTACCCAAAAGTATGTGTGGATGTGTGATATACAGAGAACGAGAAAGATAGACAAATCATGCAAATTTAAATCCTTTAACAGAGATCACACAAAAACCATGGATCGCAAGAAGCTTTACATTTGCAGAAGCTCCGGCTAAGCGACCGTTACCTTAATGTGATCTTGGCGGCTTCCGTCTTATGCATGCATGTGTATATATTTATGTATGTACATGCGTATATAGAGGACAAAAGAAATAAAGTGCGTGCCAGTGATGTGGGGCAACGCAACTCCCCTCGATACTTTCGCATCTGTCGGGACAGCTCCTATCGGCACATCACTGGCTGCGATTGTAACTGTATTAATATAATTGCGGCTGTCGCTAGCTGTTTTGCACCAGACGACGCACACCAGCGCCAGCGTGCGCACTAGGACGTGCCCCTGCGTGCTTTTCCATTTCGTTTCCATTTCGTTCTTATTGCCATTTCGTTTCGTTCGTTCGGAGCCGCAAAATAACCGTGGACAGCGACAAACAATAACAACGCTGCAGATAGAATAGATATAGAGAGGGAGAGAGTGAGTGCGCCGCGCCTATCGGCAGGCAATGATTCCCGTTGTTTACTTTGATTGAGTGCCACTATCCGGGAGCGGAGCGGGAGAGTGATAAACAGCATTGCAGACCAAAGACCAGAAAGCCAGCCAAAAAAATATCATCATCCAAATATAATGTGACAAGATGGACTTCCAGAACCGCAATAACACGGCCAACAAGTTCGTCTGTCCCAGCGACAGGCAGCTGGCCTTGCGTGCCAAGTAAGTACCGTTATAAGTCCCAAAAGCCTAGCTTTCAAAGCAACCGACAGGCATGGCCTGAAAGCTAAGTTGGACTTAAAGCTAATGTGTCATTGTCATTGGGATTGGGCTTTAGGCATTGGGCATTGGGAGACTAATGCAACAATTGGCTATCCTATAATCTCTCCGTTTCATGGCCAGTCGCGAAATAGCAACAAATGGTATTTTTTTCATGTGTGTGTTTCTGTGTGTGTGTGTGTGTTTTAGGGTTAGAGCTAACAGCAACCAAAATTCGACAAAAGCTTTAGTTGTAATTTAATTAACTTTTACTCCGTCTGTGTATGTTTGTGTGTGTGTGTGCATGATTGGCCAAAACACACAGCCCTAAACTGTGGCCTAATCAAATAATATACATGTGTGTGCTGCACACACTGTCAGACGCCGACAACGACGACGGCTATGTAGCGCGGGAGCCATGTCCCTGAGCGAACAACTTTGAAGGCTAAGGGGAGTGGAAACTGAAACTGAAACGGAAGGGATCCACATGGTTTCTGTGTCGGCCCAATTCTAATCATAATTGTTGCACGCTGACAGATTAATTAAATTTTAATAATGTTCAATTTTTTATGGGCCCCCCACCAACACATACACATAATGGTCCAGAGACAGAGAGGCTTTCATTTATTTATTGCAATTGACGGGGGGTGGGAACTGGGGCATGGCAGAGCCATTTACATGATTTAAGCAACACGCCCATGTCGCATATCGCATATCGCATATCGCATATCGCATATAGCATGCCGCATGTCTCATACCGCACCCAGAATCCAGAATCCACAAAACGAAACCATTTCCCTACTTGTATATGTACATATACATATGCCCAGCATATGCTGGTTGTACGAGCCTGTAGCATACTGCGTGGGGCAGCCGTGGGTGGAGGAGCAGTGGCAGGAGCAAGAGCACGGCTCAAATCAATCCCAGCTGACTGTAAATGCGACTTGGGCGCATTAAAAATACAAAAACACCGCCACACGGACACGCACCGACAGGCACGGCACAGCATGAACAGAAAGCAGAGCGAAAAAAGGAGCGGAGGGGTGGGCGGCAGGCAGGGCATGCAGGGCATGGAGGGCAGGTTTCAAGTGTGCAATTTACACTTCCGTTCGTTCATTCGTTCGCTACATTGTAACCATTCACACTGACACTCCACTCACACCCTGGCACACAGACAGGCACAGACACGCACACGAACATAAAGAAGCATAGAAACAAAGAGCTTTTGCCTTTAACCGAGTGACAGGACGGGCAGGGTGAGAAGAGAGCTTCCCGCTTAGCGCCTCTCGCGTCTCTCCCTCTCCCTCTCCCTCTCATTTCTGACTCTCATTTTCTGGCATTGGCTGGCTCTGTACTTGAAATTCAAATTACAGCTCAAGGGAGCAACATCAGGAAGAGGAAAATCATGGCCAAAGGGGGCAAGGAGAACTGTTCAAGGGTAAGCCAATGAGCACTCACTCAGGAGCGAGCACATTCAGGCAGTGCTATGGAGAGCAGGGCTAGTAAAGTGTCAGAAAAGAGCACTCCATCGTCATACCGATCTCCAGCAAGTCCCAACGAAATGCAAAGGAAGTATGCCCTCAGAAGAAATCGTACAAAAAATAAACGTAAGGCTAAGGAAAGAAAGGAAACCGTTCAACAAATCAGTGTTTTTTTCTCCGTTTTTTTCTCCGTTTTTTTTTTTTTTTTTGTTCATTGTAAAAACTGTGCAATATGCTGTTCCTCATGTTCGAAGCCATACACTTTTCCTTTGCCATTCGACAAGACAGCTTTTGGATTGAGCTCTTGTAATTGACAGATTTGTTTCGTATGCGACAATCAGATCTGGTTGAAACATAAGCCATTGGCTCTGTCTCAGCTAAGGACGACAGCTGAGACCCCGTTTGAACCCCGTTTCAGGAGTGATTTGATTTGGTATTCGGTTCCCCATTGATTTCGTTACTTAGAGGAGCACAGCACTTATTTTGGTCCGGGCCAATGTTGATAGAGTACTAAGCGAATTGGTAATTTAATTATGATGTTGGAGAACCCGCAAGGGCATTTCCACATGGAGCCACAGCACGCACAGACACGGGGCCCATGGCCGTACAAGTACGAGTTCAGGGCAAGAGCAGAGTCAAGTCAATAAACCCATCGTGAAGGCGAACAAAATTGTTAGGTAAAGTAGAGCCTCTACGCCCGGATTTGCATGCCCGACCTGGTTGCCGGTTGCTGTGCGTGCCCGTATGTGGGCTTTGTGGTGGCGCTTGGCTTGGCTTTGCTTCTTTTTTTTTTTAATGCCATGTGTAAGTGATTCCAAAGTGGCTATAACAAACGCTTTCGGACCCCGAACACCTCCTGAAACCAAACGCCACGCAACGCAACGCAAGGGAATGGAACGGAAATAAAACAGCATTAAAAGCTTTTTACTAGAGTGAAACGACTAGCAGATACCCCTTGTATTTGTGGGACTCCTTTATAGCATGGCGCCACACGAATACAACATGCTCCGCTCCTGCCTTCTACTGGGTGTACAGCGGGGGATAATGAACCCGAGCTAGGCGCCGGCTACGGGCACGGCAACGGGTACGGGAATAGGTCCTAAACATGGGCGAGTTAATTAACTTTGAACTTGACATTTTGGCCGTGTGCTGCTGCTGAGGAACATGGAAACCGCATTAACCAGCCCGCAACTAACGATGCTCATTAGGCAGGGCGCCCATCCCATACCAACCCATACCAACCCATACCATTCCATCCACTTGAAGCACTTTTGGAGCTGGCACATTAACAAGGTCTCCCCGTTTTTTGGCTTTTCCTATCTCTCCCGCACAGATTGAGGGCCGGCTGGAGCAGCTCAAAGACCAGTGAACCCTTGCGTCCCGAGGAGCAGGAGGCCATCATATCCGTGATACGGCGCAATGAGGAGATCGAGATTGCCGAACGGCAGCGGGTCGGCCGTCTGGTGGAGCGAGTTGAGAAGATCAAGCAGCACGCTGTCGAGCGGGGCCCCAACTGTTGTCGGCTCTGCGGCGACACCTTTGGGCTGTTGCGGCCGCATCGCATCATCTGCGAGGACTGCCGTCAGTCCGTGTGCACCAAGTGCAGCGTGGACATCAATATCCGGTATCACACCAGCGAGCGGACACGGGAGATCTGGCTCTGTCGCATCTGCTCGGAGACGCGCGAGATGTGGAAGAAGTCGGGGGCCTGGTTCTTCAAAGGCCTGCCGCGGTACGACACGCCGCGCAGTGCCAGCGCCACGCCTACGCCCACACCCACACCAGGAGGGATGGCATCCATGGCAGGTAGGGATTGGTCATGTCCTGTCGCGTCATTTACTATCCACTTCCGCTTTTCGCAAGGACCAGTGCAAAGTGCAAAGTGCAAAGTGGGGCACAGCTATGCTATGCCTGCAAATGAGTCTCGTTCGCTATCCAAACTATCCAGAACCCAAAACTCGACTTTGGTTCGCAGTCCAGTCCAGTCTTTTGATCCATTCCTCTTTTGCCAGTTTCCAACAATCATCGCGGTTCAATTCGATCTTTAGTTAAGCCATTAATCAATCGATTTGTAATCGACAGCACAGAGCTCTGCTTCATGATAGTTATCAGCATTATCAATCTGAAACTTAAGACCGGAACTTGGCTTCGCATAAGCTGCGCTGCTTTTCCCTTTCATGCCCTTGCGTTGCCCTATTTCAGCACTTATCGATTTCAATCGATATATATTCGACCTGTTATCGGAGGCGTCGGGAATCGACCGAAACCATCGCTAATATCGATATTCTATGTCATCGTAGGAGACACGCGGGCCGTGCACAGCTGCCACGGAACGCCGACGCGGCCGGCGCGGGTCAAGAAGCTGACCATACGGGTCAACGACAGCAGCTCCAGCAGCGGCCCCTCCGAGCCGGAGGATGAGCTGGACAGCGGGGGTGGTAGCGGTTTCGGTGGCGGTGCCAGGGGCTCGGCCGTGGGCCGCCTGCAGAGGGAGGACAGCTTCCGGCTGCGGGCATACGGCTCCATAAGAAGCTTCATCGACGGCGGCGAGCGAAAGTTGTCGAACTCCTTCTTCTTCGGTCGACAGCAGAGCCACCGGCCGTCGGAGTGCCCCGACTACGACAGCATCAGCCTCACGAACGGCTCGGCGGTGGCCCAGCTGCGCCGCGAGAGCAGCTCCCTGCGCCGTGGTTCGGTTAGCTCCTCCTGGTCCATCAGCGAGAGCTCTGGCTCCGGTAATTCCGGCACCCAGTCACAGTCCCAGTCGCAATCACAATCGCAATCGCAATACACCCAAGCCCAGCAACAGCATTGCCGGGATCCGCTGCTAGGCTGGCTGGAGATAGCCATCAGCTATCGGGAGAACTTCCACAGCCTGGACTGCACAATGGTGCGGGCACGCGACCTACCCGCCATGGACGCCTCTGGCCTGACCGATCCCTACTGCAAGCTCAACATAATCACGCCCGAGGCGCTCACCAAATACACGCGCTGGCAACGCACCAAGACCGTGCACAAGACCCGCAATCCAGAGTTCAACGAAACCCTCCAGTTTGTCGGCGTGGAGCCCGAAGAGCTCGGCAACTCCCTGCTGTATGTGGCCCTCTTCGACGACGACAAGTACGGGCACGATTTCCTAGGCGCAGCCAAGGTCTGCCTCTCCACGGTGAGTCCAACGATGGATAGGTTTCCAGGATAAGGTGCCACATCCACCGGCCAATTCGAAGCTAATTTTCCGGTTTTCACTTTCACCTTGATATGATGGCCGCCAGGTTTCCAAGCAAGCGAGCCAGCAAGCAAGGAAACGTGAGGAACGTGAAGAGCAAGCCTTAGGCTCCTCTTCGCCGAGCAATTGACAGCAAAACATAAACCCCAAAAATATTAAAATGAAGCCCATTTTTAGGCTGAAAATATCTGAAACTAAATTTTAAGAACGGACGGAACTTTAAGCCTCAAATTGCAAGCGAACAAAGCGAACGGAAATTGACAGATCCCTACTAATTCTTGCTGCTTCGGCTTTCGTTTTGTTTCCGTTTCCATTTCGACTTCCGTTTCCATTGCAGGTGCACAGCACATCCCAGTACAGGATCTCGGTGCCGCTGGGCGTGGAGGATCAGTACAGCAGCGCGGCGGAAATGGCCCAGGAGTGGCCCAATGGCAAAATTCTTATCTCCCTGTGCTACAATACCAAGCGGCGGGCTCTGGTCGTCAATGTGAAGCAGTGCATCAATCTGATGGCCATGGATAACAACGGTAGCTCCGATCCCTTTGTCAAGCTGTGAGTAATGCTCAAGATTATTGTACTTCTGTATCATTAATTTGCTAATGTTCCGTTCCAGTCAGCTCAAACCGGATGCGCACAAGAACAAGAAGCACAAGACGAGCGTCAAGTGGCGGACCCTGAACCCGATCTACAACGAGGAGTTCTACTTTGAGGCCAGTCCCCACGATCTCAACAAGGAGATGCTCATTGTGACCGTGTGGGACAAGGATCTGGGCAAAAGCAACGACTTCCTGGGCAGCCTCCAGCTGGGGGCCCAGAGCAAGGGCGAACGCCTCCAGCAGTGGCACGACTGCATCCGATTGCCTGATCACTTTCATGAGAAGTGGCATTGCCTGGCCCCCGACAATCCCGCCCACTAGCGGGTGCGACTGCGGCTGCGGCTGCGGCTGCTCCACAACCAATCAAACACCCAACCGATCCTTCCCGCTTAGCTCCAAATATACACATAAATAGTAATACAGTAATATAACATATATATTATATATACATACATACATATATATATATTTTTGATATGCCTGCCTGAGTGTGTTAGCCAGACAGAGAGACAGAAAGAGAGAGAGAGAGAGAGAGAGAGACATAGAGAGGAAGAGAAAGAGAAAGAGGGAGTGCGCTTGTGTATCTGCTTTCCGATATCTCGTATATAACCTCAATTTTTCTATATCTGTTCTATATACTTTCGGCTCTTATCGGCATTTTTGTATACATTCAAACTGTATATACTAGCTTTTGTTTAAGTGTCCTTATCAAGGGTTAATCAACATCAAAACAATTTCGATTTATTGCTAAATTCAACCTATAATCAAAACTAATTATTTATGTACTTAAATATATATCGAAATAAATATCGGGATACAATTGGAACTCTTGCATCCATCTAGCAGCATTACTAACTTCAAACTTGAAAGATTCCGAGCCGATCAGATCCTGCCTGCCAGCCAATCTTTATATTCATTCTCTGGATGGGATATAATATTATTGCACTGGAACTTTTATCTCTAAAGCCTCGCATTGTCCCGTATAGCGAAGTATAGCTAAGAGAAAGCTAGGCTCTGCAGCTGAACGGCGGGTTCTATGATGTTCTTTCTATGAGATGAGGCACCAACAAAGAAAAATCTTTGCCCAATCAGAAGAAAGTCATTGAAGTCGGCTAGACACCGACTCTTCATTCTCTTTTGGAGCATTCGCTTGTGCATCTCGAGACAAGGACGTGCCCACCGCTGATCTATAGTATAACCTTATTGGTATCGTGTGCTTTAGCCATACCCCAATTGAAAACGTTTTGTTAGCTTATTTCATATGACATTTAATAGATTCAAAGATTCGGAAACAGCTAAGAAGTTCCATACTATTAAACACTTTTGCAGGTAAGTACAAACATACGGGGGGAAGGGAATCCTGCTTCAGCTTACGTTTCAGTTTCAGTTTCAGTTCACATTTAATAAGTTTTGGCATAAGGAATTTGAAAGGTTCCCAGTAAGAGGAGCTGCTTATAGCGAGCATATATGTGTGTATGTAGTATGTATGTTTGCTACAATACAATATACAACAAAACAACACAACCGGAATATAAGGTCCGATGTAGGTATAGAATACAAGCCGATCGTGCGTGTATGCAACTAACAAACGGGGTGGGCGCTAAATGCCCATAGATACGAGATATTGTAGATATATAGATTAGAGTACATATTTCTATACAGATCGTGGTCTGTAAACACTTAAGATTAGGTTCCTGCCAGCGCGGGCAGATGGATAAGGTAGGTAAACACATGTATGTATGGTTGGGGCCATTGATTCGAGGATGCCTTATGCGCGGAACATGCGCGGAAACTCTCAACCCTTCCGAAATCACTTGCGATCGTATAGCCGGGCAAAGGGGTTCGGATTGGCTGCTCCAGATCGATTCTGGTGCTGTTGCTGCTGCTGCTGCTGCTGCTGTGATGCAGAGGCAGCCAATCCGCTGCCCGTGGCCGATGCAGCACTGGCCATATGTTAGAAGAGACGCTTCTCATAGCTGAAGAGGCCGTGAACGTTGCCCTCCAACTGAGCGGAATGGGTGCGCTTCATGAATCGCAGTTGGCCATTGTAGATCATCTCCCTGTAAAGACACATTTTCAGTGAAGGAATGCCAAGCAATGAATTCCAGGCACTCACTTCAATTTCTTCACGGAATTGGCTCCAATGTCCTGGCAGCTGTGCTGCAGTCCGCACTCCAGATAGGGCAGATAGCGGAGTACGCTGCCCTTGTCCACAATGCTGCCGCTGACGCCCTGGGCGACCTTCATCTTGTCCATCTCGTTGTGGTAGTAGCGGGACATGGCCGCACCCTTGGCATCGCCGCGCTCCATAGCCTCCAGGGAGCCCATGCCCCGGTATTTCTTCAAGCGCACGCCATCCGAGAAGAAGTACTCACCGGGCGCCTCCGAGGTGCCGGCCAGTAGGGAGCCCATCATCACGGCGCTGGCGCCCAAGGCTAAGGCCTTGACAATGTGTCCGATCGATTGGATGCCGCCATCGGCAATCACGGGCACCCCAAACTCTTTCGCATATGTGGAGACCTGGTAGACGGCCGTGGCCTGGGGACAGCCGCAGGCCATCACCTCCTGGGTGATGCAGATGGAGCCAGAGCCCATGCCCACGCGTAGTCCGTCCACGCCCGCCTCGATGAGATTCTTGGCCTGGGCTCGTGTTACAACTGGATGGGGGTGGGGGGACCAGAAGCAGGAGCCACACAAAAGGAGGAGAGATACGAGGACGATGATGTGGTTAGGATGTGCTAATGAGGAGAGATTAGTGGATGGGCCACTTACCATTGCCACCGATGACCTGCAGATCGGGATAAGTCTCCTTGATGAACTTGATCATCTCCACCTGATAGATGGAGTTGCCCTGCGACGAGTCCAGAATGATCACATCCACACCATTGGCCACCAGCAGCTGGAGCCGGGCCTTGTCCTCACCGCGCGTCCCAATGGCGGCGCCCACCAGCAGCTGCTTGTTGGAGTCCTTCGAGGCGTTCGGATAGGAGCGGGCCTTCTTCAGATCCGTGCGCGCAATCATGGCCACCAGTTCGCCAGCCTGATTGATAATCGGCAGTTTGCCCTTCTTGCTCTTCTCCAGAATGGCATTCGCCGTGGGCAGGGTGATGCCATTGGGCGCGGTGACCAGTTCGGTGGTCATTATGTCGGCGAGCACTATCTCCGGCTGATTCTCACGGAAATCGATGTCCCTGGAGGTGACCATGCCGAGGAGCTTGCCGCCCAGTTTGCCATTCTCGGTGACCGGATAGCCGGTGAAGCCGTTCTTTCGGCGGGCCTCGAGCACATCGCCGACGGTGTTGGTGGGCGACATCACGGACGGGTCGCGCATGAAGCCATGTTTGTACTTTTTAACCTTGTGCACCTCCAACGCTTGGTACTCCGGCGTGCAGTTGTGATGGATGATGCCGATGCCACCACACAGCTGCGCGTCGGACGACAGTGTCGAGTGTCGAGTGTCGGTCCATCACAGTTCATGGGAGGCAGTCCAGGCCAAGGACGGACGGGCAGCAGAGCGCAGTCAACGGTTAGCGGTTGAGCGGTTAGAGAGGCACAAAAGAGTGTTGAGTTACAACCACAGCTAGAGCGATGCGATCGAATCCGAGTCGAGCCCCCAATCCGCTCTAGATTCTGAGACAGTACTCACCGCCATGGCTATGGCCATCTCCGATTCGGTTACGGTGTCCATGGGCGAGCTAACCAGCGGCGCCCTCAATGTAAGTTTCTTGGTCAGCGGCGACCCAAGATCAACATCCTCGGCAGTGAAGTCTATATAGCCGGGCAATATGAGAAAGTCGCTGGGGATGTTGACATTGACATTGAGATTGAGATTGCGAGGATTAGGATACGGTCAGGGATGTGTTGATTGATTGATTGACTGATTTACAAAAAGATCTCTGTGGTGGCCTGGCACTTACTTGTAGGTGAGTCCATCCCCGTTCTGGAACAACTCCCTGCAGCTGAGGCCGTCCTGCAGCTGATCCTCAGCGGATGATTCTCCAGCCACAAAGCCATTGAGTTTGGGCTTGTTGTTACTGCTTTTATCCATATCTGCGGCAGTGGCGTCCGTTTAATTTGGGCCAAACAAAGACGGCGGTAACAATAAACAAAATAGGAAAAATAGCCGCGCGCCGAGAGCCGAGAACCGAGAGCAGAGGGCCAAAAGGAACAAAAAAATATAACACAAACAACAATCAATGCCGCCGGTTTTTTTAATGGCGCTCTGTTCCACAGACACACACCACACACACACACAGGTTCAATGGATTCCCGATGCGGCGGCGCTTTTTGTGGCAGCTGTGTGGCACTCTAGATGCGGATGAGGGCTGTCCAATTGTCGATGGAACAACGCAATTGCAGTGAGACGTAACCTTTAGCTGTGGCGGCGGCACAATGAAAAGCAGCATAGAAACAAGGTTAATTGCAGTCCTCTATTGCGTGGAATGGGGCCTGGACAGGGCTGGGAGTGGGAGTGGAGGGCCGAGCACATGGTTTTGCCACTTACCAGTCCAGCAGTGGGCCGTGGGAGCAAGTTGAACGGTTAATACGTTAGTGTGGCGGCAGATACCATGTGGCGTAGAGGTGGAGAAGTATCGATGTTTTGGTGTTTGCTACTATCGGTGGTTTTGCTCGTGATACTCGATAGAGCTTCCCCATCTCTACTTTGATTTTGAAAAGTGCAGTAGTGTCAATTTTATTCCTCGGTTTTGATATTCCGTTGAATATTACTATATAGATAGAACATTTAGCCATGCCCAGACAATTTTATACGATTGATGAATCAATTCTATACTTGGTTGGCAGGTTTTTAGTCCTTGCTTTTATTGTATTTTACCTAAAACAGGGTTTAAACGAAAAAGTAGCTAGGACCCTCAGCACTGAGCATTTCATTTTATACGGCTGACGAATCACTTTCCCACAAGACTGGCTAAGTTGCTGGCTAATGTTCAGGGTAGTTGAACTTATTGGTACTTTAATGCGATAAAACGGCGGTTTATTGTGAAAATAACAATCTTACCTTTGGTCCAAAATACCATTTTTCGGATTAAATTCTAAAAATAATCGTAGTGGTCTAAAAATGTATACACCTTCCTCTAATATAGTCTCTACCGTATCTGATCTATCTTCTATCCCGACTCGCGGTCTCCATATTAATTATTTATACCACAACATAGGAAGACACCAATAATATAATGTAATAAATAAGAAAGTTTACAGCACATAGAATTAAATACAGTCGAACTTCTCTATAACAAACTTCCATGCAACGAAGTTTGCCAAAACTAATAAATTATATATTACGAATTAGGAAGTTCGACTGTTTATATTAAAAATAGATTCCCTGTGTATGGGAGGGAATTAAATATATTTCGGTGCATTTATTTCAAAATCCAACTGCAGCATGATCGATAACGATAAGATGTATATCGATATACTATTTGCATTCTCTAACACTAATTCATAGAACAGCTGTTGCCTGGAAGAAAAAGCGAGATAGCAACACTGTTGGCCACATTCCATTTGCATGGACCAGCAACATGTGCCGCGCAGCAATGCAACAATGAAGAGCAACATTCCGCATACCCGTGAATGATGAAGTATTTTTCGTCGCAGGCTCAAACATAGTAAAAAACGAATAAAACGTTATTTTGGACACAATCAAATTAAAGAGAGTCCTTAAAATGTGCCATTCACTTTCGTCATAAATTTCGTCATCATAATAAAATTATGTGTTCAGTGCTCAGTTTAGGTAAAAGATTTCATGGTGTTTTTTTATAAGTAAAAATGTAGATCCATTCTAGGATCTACCAGAATAATTATTAGTATATTATAGTACATTATATTATATTATATAGTACAGCATTGCGCGGCTGAACTCGGCCCCCTTTTAGACTAAAGGGGGCTATTTTGAAAATGAGACGGTATATTTCTGAGGGTCAGATGGGCACACTGCTGCTCTCTCCTGCAACAAACAAATGAGTCGCAATTTAGAATGGGCTATTAGGGTATGGGTTTTCTTACGCTGAATGTTGCTGGCAACATTCAATTTCTATGGACCAGAGTCGTGTGCCGCGAAATCGAGCAGCACTGTGTGGGCTGGGGCGAGAGTTCTTCAAAAACTAGGAATTTGTAAAATATAACTGTCAGTCGTCAGTATATTTCCGGTATATTTTTAAAATAAGAAGCTATATTTTGTTATATTTCCGTGGATCGGACGGTGTATTTTAGCGATAAGTCCGCGGTCACACTGCCTGGTGCGCGACTGTGTGTGTGTGTGTGGTCGAGGTAGAGAGAAAAGTGGAAAAGCAGAGAAGCAGAGAAGCAAGGAATAGAGAATAGGCAGCGCGGAGATCGAGGAAGAAAAAGCCCAGTTTGAATCGGTGCGAAAACAGTTGCACGAAGTGGCAAGCCCCAAACCGAAAGTACGAAGAAACAATTTTCAGCATTGCCGTAGACGTGCGTGTGACTGGCAGCAACAGTAAATTCAAACGCAACCTCGTCGGCCCTCACATAACAGCCCCACACACTGCCTTTAGCCGCGTCGCTTCGCATTGCGCATTACGCTACGGCAGCGGTTACGTCGTGCGTGCTGTGCCTCTCATCTTTCTGTTCGACGGTGCGTGTGTGTGTGCGTAAGGTGTGGTGTATATAGAAAATCGATTGCAATTGAACCAACGCCGCAGTCGCCGTAGCAGCAGCCGCGTGTGCCGTTACGATTTTTCCATTACCAACATTTCTGCGCCGTTCTGCGGTTTTTTTTTTGTTAAACCAATCCACCGCCCGCCGTTTTCTGCAACATATCAAATAATTGTTTTAAATATTTTTTGCCTGTGCCACCCGCTTTTCGGTGATTGCGTGTGGGTGTGTGTGTGTGTGCGTGCGTGTCGTGCGTTGAAAGGAGATAGAGAAGAAGCAAGAGCGTTATCGCTCCATCTCTCTCTCCTAGTTCCGTTCCGGATCGAAAATGGATAAGCCAACAACAAAAACCACAACGAACACGGCCCCGGCCGATGCCCAGAATGAGGCAACAGCAGCGGCAACACAGCCAAATGCTGGGTGTGGCAGCACCACCACCACCACCAACAACAACAACAAAAGCAACAACATTGGCACCACCACAACTAACGGCACCAGCAGCAACAACTGTAACGGGAATAGGAGTCACAGCAACGGCGTCGCCTTGCAGCGTTTATCATCATCGACTACAACAACAACAAGTGTAAATGGCAACGCCACAAGCAACGGCAACGGAAGTGGAAGTGGCAGTGGCTCCTCCAACGCTGGCATGCTGATTAACCTCAATATCAGCACCACCACCGGCGGCAACTTTGCCGTCAGCGTGGAGCCGCACATCAACGTGGAGAGCCTCAAGAAGATCATCGCCAAAAAGCTGAAGGTGGCAAAGGATCGCATATGTCTGCTGCACCGTGAAAAGTGAGTACTGATCCGCCATTAATTAAACCAAACCTTCGTTCAACATTTTCCAGCTCACTCCTAAACTGCTTTAACCCTTCTCGTTGTAGCGGCACCATTTTGTCCCCCAAAAACTGTTAGTTTTGCTTCTCCCCTGTTCTGTCTCCACCCGCCCCCCATAGGCTATTTTGTTTGCCTCTGTTATAGTAACTGCCTTTGATTATCGTTTATTTGTGGGCTCCATCTTTCGCTCGACGCTCTGGCCAAACCAGCCCCTGTCCTTTTCGTTCTTTGTTTAGTTTTTCTCTCGTTCTTTCTCGTTATGGGTATGATTATTATTATTGATATAACCTCCAAAAAATCCACTAAAAAAGAAACAAAAGAAAAACGTTTGAAGGGCCAAGTGCTATAACAGGGGCTTGGTGGGGGATTGTTCAGTGCAGTGCAAATTGATCTACACACAAAGAGAGACGACATACACACACATATATACATGGGCAAAGCGATTTCATAATCAATTTGTTGCTTAGTCAAAACAACGCAAAAGAAAGAGACGACGAGAAAGAGAGAGAAAAATAACACACAAAAAAGGGGGAAAATGTCCGGCACATAACACGAAACCGGCAAAAAACAACAAAAAAAAATTAATCAAACAAAAACAGAAAATGCAAAGCGAGTCGGTTGGTATGTCTGTGTGTGTGTGAAGAGAGAGAGAGAGAGAGAGCGAACGAATGAGTAGGAGCTGTAGCAGTGCCGCCAACTAGTTGCATGGAGGGGCCCGCAGCGGCAGCAGAAGAAGAACTGTTAATGCCTGCTGTTAAGTGAAGCTGTTACTGTTGCGTTTCTCCTACTCATTCTTTCTGTACCCTCAAGAATTGTATATTCCTAATCAGCATAAACGGTGGAGTTTTCTCCTTTTCTATTGTTACTTCCCCAGCAACAATTACTTGCACAGTTGAATGGCTTGGCCGGCCGCCCTCCCTCTCGCTCTACCTATTCCGCTTAACTGTTACTGTCTGTTCAGCCTGCTGTTATTGCCTATCCTCTGTTGGTGAGCTGTTAAAAGGCTCCGCTGATTATTTCCCTTTCCCTTGCTATTCGTGTGGGTGTGTGGGTGTGTGTGTGTGTGTGTGTGTGTGTGCGTATGAGCATGAGTCCTCGCGCATTACAGTGGCTTCTCTTTCAGTCGCTTTGCAACAATAATGCATGCGGGTTTCTGTCCGTCTCCTCCGTCACACGAGACAGACGACTGTACTCAGACATTGTGCATCCGTCTCCCTCCCGCCCCTTACTCCCTTCATTTGTATTTTCTGCAAATAGATTTCTAATTGAGAGAGACAGAAAGAGAGAGCGAGAGATGTGTATCTTACTGCTCCCACCATCTGCCCATTATCTTACCTTTGTCTGCGGCTGCCGTTTCTGCAAAAAAAAAGAAGAAAAATCTCAAAACTTGACTGATAAGAGTTTGTGCCCACATCTCTCTTCTTCTCTACTGTGGTGTTTATCGGCTTCTTCTTGGTGCCTTCTTCTGCTGCCGGACTGATTCTTAAAATCCTTTTTTTGATTTGGTTTTCTCCTGCCTTTCTTTCTTCTTCCTCTGTCTGTTGGTGCATCTGTTTTATGCCACTTTACAGCAAAAAAAAAAAAACAACAAAAAACAAGCAAAAGCAAAATGGGCAATGGCGTCACGGTTGCTTCTCCTTCTTCTCTCTCTTCATCTTCTTCCACTTGAAGTTCTCTTCGTTTTTCATGTTTTAATGCTCCCTGCCAGCGTCGGCATGGGCAGCGCTGCTAACCGGCGCGGTGGTCACATGTGTATGTGTGTGTGTGCGTGGTGTGTTTTCTATACAGCCTATGCGTGTGTGTGTGTGTGTGTGGAGAAGATTTTTTTGTGCCTTTGTTCTTGGTTTCTCCCGTCCTCTTCATCGGCTTAATTTTGCTTCTGCTTCATAACGATGATGCTGTGGACGGACTCGACCGACAGGCTGCGCTTATCGGACACAGAGGCAAACGGACTTGGGCTTCTCTTTGTTTGAATGTCACACACACACACACACACACATGCATCGTTAACCCGTAGATGAGAGGCAGCCATAGAGATGCCACCCCCGCATGGCCTAGGACTGATAACAACAGCAACAACAAGAAGACCAACAACCACCACCACCACTACCACCACCAGAGCGAAAGTAGCAAAGAAACAAGGCTTTTGGTGAAAGCTTATTCACACCACCAATGCCACTGCCACTGCCACTGCCACCGCCACTGCCACTGCCACTGCCAGCAGCAGGCCGGAAAACCCTCATTTAACCACCAGCTAGAAGACGCGCAGCAACTTGGGGAAAGAACTAGCCAACAAATGAAGACAATGTGGCACTGGCACACATGAATGGGATTGAATGGGAATTTCTCTGTGAGAGGCATTTATTATAAAGTCACCACCGAACCCAAACACCACCAAACCCAAAGCAAAGCCCAACCCAACACGAAACTGAAACTGAAACAGAGACCAAAAACCAAAAACCAAAAACGAAAAACGAAAAACCAAACCCAAACCCAAAATGAAAACCCAGCCTAAACCAACCCAGACATTTCTCATGAATATATTGCCCATGTGGGAAGCGAAGCAGGAAGACGGAGAGAGCGAGAGAGAGCAGAAGAGGAGAAAAGTAACAGAGAACAGAATGATAAAAGAGGAAATGATCCTATACCATCAACAGCAACCCTTTAACACGTGCGCTGACAGGAGGCACCCAAAAAGAGATAAACAAACAAAACCTACAATATGGTATTAAATATTCTGCACCAAATCGATACCATTCAGTATATACGGTATAAAATACCAAATCTAGCATCTACCAGAAACTAGTCTATATATTTATTTATGTATGTTTTATAGGTATGTACATATACTGCACTGCACATTGCATAAAGTAGGAAATACCATATCAGAACAACAAAATTCTTATAGATTAGATTTGCTTGCTATCAGCCTCGCCCTCCCCCCACCACTACCTCCACTTCTACCGTGTACTACCGAGTACTTTGTTGTACGGCGCACTCTCAAGGTGTGTGCTTGGCTGTTCCAGCTATGACATAAGCCAAAGGCGCCCCACATGTCACCTTAGGGTTCTTCAGATAGAGATATGTATACGTTTTATTGTGTGTGGAACAAAGCAGCACAAAGCAGTGTCTACAGTCTACAGCGTCGCTCTGTTTTGGCTTGCTTTTATAATCAACAACAGTTTGAATTTTAGTCCGAGTGATTTTCTTCTGTTCACAGGCAATGACTAGAATCATTTGAAAATTTCTTTGCATTTTGCAGGGTATCAAATGTATCCATTGAAACGCCATTGAAACGCCGCTTGAAGGAGGAAGGGGTGGGATGAAGGCAGGCGGTCAGCACTTTGGGGTCGGGTAGGGTCTCTCCTCCTCTTTCACTTCTGGCACTGCCCTCTGCGACGTCATCAGTTAGCGGCGCGTGTATTTATTTTTCTTCTCTTCTCTTTTCTGCTTTGCTTTTTTCCCCCCTCTCTCTCTCTGTGGTGAGTTTTGTCCAGTATTGGGCTTTTGTTGTTGTTGTTTTTGTAGAAGCGTGGAATCTTCGCCTCGCCCTATTCAGGGGGCTTCCCTTCTAAAAATTTTCAGAATCCCACATGTTCCCCCTGCCATTCCTTCCCGATCCGATCCCCAGTGGCCTCCGTCCCTCCCGCACCAAAAAATAGTTGCTGCGTAGTTATTTTTTTTTTGTTAGCTCGTTTTTTTTTGCGTTGTTTGTCGTTGATTAGGCAGCAGCCGAGCGGCAGCGAGCAGTCACGACTAGTGCGAGATGTTGTTTGGGAAGCGTGCCCGAGACGAGACGAGACGATGCTTTGTTCTGCTGCTGCTGCTGTCTCCCTCTATCAATCTCTAGCCGGACAGAGAGACGAAGGGAGAGAGAGAGGTTGAGTGAAGATCAGGTTACACAAGACTTAAGCGGCTGCCTGGGCTCTCTCTCCCTCTCTGATTGCCTGTCCTTTTGGGCAAGAGAGAGAGAGAGAGAGAGAGAGAGAGCGAGGGTCATACGCTGCACTACATTTCTCGTTTCTCTCACCCTCTTCACTGCCTTTTCCTCTTTGTATACGAAAACTCGTTTAGTTTCTGGGAAAGTAACACCCAGAGTCTGTCTGTCCGGCGGAGCGCGGGGGTGGGGGGTGGAGAGTCACTGAAGCCATCACCTGCTGCCCTTATCCCCCCCCACGCCTTCCCCACCACACTCACTCGCTCTCTGCTGGCCAATTCCCAAGCCCCACAAGTGTGCCTCGGCACCCCGTCTCCCGTCTTCCGTCTCCATTCCACGCCTCTTAAAGGGTCGTCCATCATTTGTTTATGGCTGCCCTCCAGGCTTTGGCTTTGTACGGCGCTAGATGGCGCCACGCCCAAAATGGTGATGGGTCTCTGCTCGATCGATGGCACTGCTTGATACCCTGTAAGCAGTGTAGACTGTTTGATCTGCTGCATGCTGCTTTCTCTACCCCTCTCTACATATGTACATATGTATGTATCTTTTTCCATCCATTGATTTATTAGAATACAAAATTCCACTTGGGATAGGATACAGGGATAGATGCTTGCCCCCCCCCAACCATCGCATGTTGCAACAAAGTTGCCAGCAGTCGCTATACATTAAAAATAGAAAGCAGCAAGAGAGAGAGAGAGAGGAAGAGTGTTGGGAAGACAGAGGGGCAGAATATGGTTTGAACGGTGAATGGGACTGAAATTGGTAATGGGGATGGTGGGAGTGGGGAGTGGGAGTGGGCGTGGGCGTGGGCGGCGCAGAGTGGGTAGTTTCTCTGTTTTCGGTGGGAACTGGGGGCTTTTTAAGGTGTTCCGGGGCCTATACATACATATATCTGCGGCTATATCTGTGTGTGTGTGTGTGTGTATCTGAAAGATACAAAAATAAACAATGTCCAAATCGAAGCTAACGGCACGTTTGCATGTTTTTTTGCACAGGCACAGAATGTGTATCTTGTATTTGC